TATGCTCATATGAAAACTATTTTTAATTGATTGATCTATAGAAATAAATATGACTATTCCTGCTTCATTTTATTCCTAGTAATTAGATATGTAAATTGTTTTTTTTTAATTGTAGATCTATCGCTGAAACGTTTGCCTCAGAAGAGAAATATCAGTAAATAAATAAATACAAAAATCAGCAGCAGACACACGAAATTAATACAATAACTTCCGAAGCTCTTTCTCGTAACAAAAAACATTCTTTTCACAGACAAGTATTTATGTTTTCAATAATCCTTTCAGTGTATTAAGTAATTATCTTTAGAAGTTTTTCTTTATCTTATTAAGTTATTCTATTCTTGTAAAGTCTGTAAAAACAATGTCGTGAGAGAGATAGAGAGAGAGAGAGAGAGAGAGAGAGAGAGAGAGGATAGAGAGAGATGCAAACCCTTAATACATGTACATTATCTGTAAAAAAAAACAAAACTTGTATTTATTCTCATTCTTCATTTTATTTACATCGCCAAAGTCACAATTAATCAGTCTATGATGCTATTTAATCAACCCATTTACAACTATTGTGCAATGAATAATCCGTTCTCTGTACATGCATGCTGCCACATGAAATCCTCGTGCATCACCTGTCAATCAAAATGGCATGACGCTAGGTGACCCTGAAAGTCTGTTTACGCAGGAAGAATTTCTCCTGTGAACTGAAACATTCTTTTGGTCAGTTCATACTTCACACCTGTCTAAAAAAAAATATTGGGTCACAACCGGAGAGGCGGGGGGGCTGTGTTTAACACACCTTTCGAATTATTTAGTTCTGACCACATCAAGTGTATTAAATCACTCAAAAGACATCCAGCAAACTCATCTTCCAGGTTTCACCACAACACTGATTACAATTTCATTACTTCCTAAATTATCCCTTTTCAGACAAAAATAAATAAGCATGTATCCCTATTATTTTTTTTTCTTTTTTATATTTAACAAAAGCACAATTTAAAGTCACATGATGTTGCATAAGTATCGCCTTCTAGAGGGGGGGGGGGGTTAACAAACATAATATGGCTTGAAAGAGGATTGATATATTTTTTTTATTTCATTTTATTTAGTAAATAATTTTTTTTTACAGATGTACAAAAAATGTTTCCTGTAGATTATGATTTTTTATTTATAACAACGTACCATTTTGCAGACTTTTAAAGAACTTATAACCAGCTAATTCGTATTGCTTTCTAGAAAAGGGGATGGGTGTACAGTGTAACAAACCTTATAATATCTTCATTTTTTTCGCAAACTGTTTTTTTTTTTTTTATTTTTCGTAAGATGTATTTCAGAATGAAGTAAGATTTATACTGCAGTTTGCACACTTTATTTGCAAGAAATTCGGCTGGTGATTTTTGTATGCAGCGTGAAGTTCGTCACAGTTTTATTAGTAAGATTATTATCTCTGTCTGTTCAGTAGAATTCTTCATGACCACATGTAATATTTTAAGCCATATTTTACATGATTACAGATTTTCAGTGCAAGTACAACTGCTCCAATGATTCGCCTAATAGTAAGAATCTTAACAGAATTAATGTGAGAGTCTAATACGGATCTTTTTTAAATTTGACAGTTTATATATGTTTTAAAATTCTTACAAAATAATTCATTAGTAAAATCACGCATGTGATATGTCCTACATGTACATATGAATGCATACTTACAACAAAAACGATCTTGTATCCGATAAGATTTAAATTAATAATTCAAATGAGCAGAATTAAAATCAAAAGTAGAGACAACCAGGGAATTAATTCATGAAAGCGTGTTCTATCTTAGTGGTATTATAGTCTATTGAACTTTTTTTTATGTCAAATACAATTATAGGATTATGAAACATGAATTAATGTACATGTGCACATTTAAGGCGGTTTTTTTTTCCCTGGGCACGAGCACAATTATATTGAATTTTCGGGCATCTTATAATATTAGTTTAAATATCTGTATTGTTAAATTACGAATATTTAAATACAGCTAATATTTCAAAAGGAAATTGATTTAATTTGCTAAAACTTATAGTATGAAAACGAAAGACTTCAAAGATGCCGACATTGTTCGAGGTCCACAGTGCCCCGTACGTCTTTTGCGGGAAAAACTCGTGGCCTGTACTGTACCTTTGACCACAAACACAACCGGTTGATTTAATTTATAGCAAATAAGGAATCGTCTCACACTCTGTCTAGTTGTTTTGCAGTTGTAGTTTGCTTCGAGTAGTTTCCTTATTTTTACAGTTGAAGATCCAGACGCATGATACTTGATAATGGTGTTTCGAACAGGCAGACAGAGCCTCCGTCCTCCTTTCACAGGCGCCGTAGCGAGAAATAAACCAAAATGACTTATTTGGTCATTATACGATTCAAAAATCTTTGGGGGCGTGGTTTGCATAATTAACCAAAGAACGGTACGGTTTGTTTCTTGCACGGAACGGTACGCTTTGTGGACGGTACGGTATGCTTTGTGCACGGAACGGTTCGCTTTGTGGACGGTATGGTACGCTTTCTGCACGGAACGGTACGGTTTGTTTCTGAGGTGTAGTAGCACGGTTTAGGGTCTGTATATATTTTGATTAATTTATTGTTTGTGCTAAATGCATTCAAAAATTTTTTTATATTTGTTTTAGATCATACTGTTTTATTACATATTACATTGTCTTCAATGCAAAAATAAAATAATGCATGTTACATTTCGATGCAAATTGCAATAATCCAAAAATTAGGTTATTAGATTTTGCATTATTACATTTTGTGCTGATCTTGATGCAAAATCAAATAATGCAAAATGTAATAATCCCACTTTATTACATTTCACATTGTTGTTACATTTTGCACTGTAACAGTGCTGTCTAATCCATCTAAACTTGTCTAATATTTTTTAAATTCAAATGTTTGAAAGATTTTTCCTACATACTCCATGTATATCTTTGATCTTCCATTGTGGACCCACCCTACCCCTGTGGTCATTGATTTGAACAAATTTGAATCTACAACACCTGAGGATGCTTCCACATAGATATGGCCAATCATAGGTTTGCTGTTCTTGAGAAAATGATTTTTGAAGATTTTTCCCGTATTCCTATGAACCAGTAAAATTGATTGTCCATTGTGGCCCTGGGCCACCCCACCCTACCCCTGGGGGGTCATGATTTGGACAAACTTGTATCTACAAAGGACCTTTTCTGGCTACTAATTTTGTCTCCATAGCACCTAAAAATTCTCTGTAAGTCGCCATACTGGCAACCAGTTGAAATTAAGTCGGAGATCATCAAATTCCGAAACTATACATTATTTCTATTTTTTTTTGAATTGTTATGATTGCAAAAGACCCCCTCCCCTTCCTGGGACTAAATGACCCAATGATTTCGTCAATTTAGATTGGTATTAAAGAAAAATTTACCTGGCAACTAAAAATTTGCATTCAATGGTTACTGTTTTTTTTTTATCAGGAGCCAGCCAGCTGGCACCTTAATTTTGGAGGTCAAGTTTGATTGAAATTGGCCCAGTAGTTCTAAAGAAGAAGATGAAATTGTGAAAAGTTTAAGACAACGCCAATGACAATAACGACAATGGATAAATTTTGATCAGAAAAGCTCCCTTGGGCCTTTGGCTCAAATGAGCAGGTTTTGTCAAAGGTAATACACATTTGTAATTTAAATGTAAGCCCTATCTTTTCTCTTGAAAAGTTATGTCCAATTTAAAGTTATGTTAAAATTCTTAAAAAGTAGGTCAAACTTAAAGGTCAAGGGGTAAAAATTCATGGTAAGTTTGAAAAGGTCTTGTCACAGGTAATGTACATAGGAAATATGAAAGCCTTATCAATTCTCATTCAAAAGTTATAACCATGGTTAAAATTTTTGCGACAGACATAAAACCATTGTTTATTGTAGTGTTGTCACGATGATCGATTTATAATCGATGATCGGTTGGAAAGGCTGTCGATTTTAGACAATCGATTGGAGATTTTAACAATCGATTAATCGGTATATTTCAGCACATATCTTTTTACAGTTTTCTCACTTTTATTTCAAGAACAGGCTCTTGTTATCAAATTATATATCTTTCAAGAGTTGTCCTTTACTATTTTAAACTACATGTACTTAAAATCTGTTTAAAATAAATCATAAGATAATGATATGTGTATTTCTAAACTGAAGAAACTAAACTACTTGTATAAATGAAATATATTAGTTTTCAGTATTTGGGGAAATTCACGGACACCTGTCATTTCATACGGAACTCAAGGATTTGCAATATTAAATGTCTTATAACAGCTTAAAAAATTAATTCCATATACATAATGTACACTTTAGATGATCATGTAAAACCTGATCTGTCAAAGCTTACTTTTCCCAGGCCAAGTAATTCCTAATCATGCAAAAATCTGTATTACTGAAATTGTTAATCAAACTGCATATATGCTGTTTTTAGCATTTCAATTTTTACAATGCACCTTTACTTACATTATTTAAAAATAAAATTCTAAATCTTATGAAATCTAATGCCTATTTAATGCAAAGGGTTACCGATTCGATTATTGGCCGATGATCAGTTGGTTAGGGTCAACCGATGCTACCGATTAATCGATTCTGATTTTCAACCGATTTGACAACACTGGCTTATTGTATTAAATGAGATTCAATATCCCCTTGCATTCGCAAAAGTAGAGGACTATAAAGTTTCTAATTTTTTGTTTTCACCCTGGGGGTGAATGGTGGATGTTCTAGGGTAAAACACCCTTGGCTTGATGACCCTGGAATTCTATATCTATTTTACTATGATGAGAAATCACCTTTGGCTATATGATCCTGGCTTTATACATTATACAGATTTTTAGATCACTGCTGTTGAAAAATATCTTTGGTACATGTATATTGAAATTTGAATGAAATATACTTCCTTAGCTTCACTTGTATACAATATATATAAAGGCTCTTGATGAAATATAATTGTTTTAAAATTGACAGATTGAATACCTGATATTTTCATATTCACAGTGTTGACTGGACTGACAGAACTCCATGATATGTTAAAACCGTTTTTCTCTGGAAGTTGATCTACATACACAATTGGACGACTGAGGGCTGCAAATATATATACAACATACGTTACACAGAATACCGACTTTGCATGCATAAATACAAACTAAGATGAAGAAAAAGTGAGCAAGCTCACATACCCCACACTCCCAAAACTCAAAGTGCTGAGAATCCCCGAAAAATAAAGGAATCTGAGAATTTCCCTGTAATATGCACATCTACACATTGTGTCCTAAATATCTGCAAAATTTGATGAAATTCTGTGCAGCAGTTTATGAGGAGTTGCATTGACAAACTGTTCATCGCTATATTCAAGATATCCCCAAAAATCTAAGTTGAAAAGTGCCAAAATACCCCCCAAAAATAAAGGAATCTGAGAATTTCCAGGTAATATGCACATCTAAACATTGTGTCCTAAATATCTGCAAAGTTTGATGAAATTCTGTGCAGTGGTTTAAAAGGAGTTGTGCTGACAAACTGCTCATCTCTATATTTAAGGTATGGCCAAAAATCTAAGTTGAAAAGTGCCAAAATTCCCGGGAAAAATTAAGGAATTGGAATTTCCTGGTAATATGCACATCTACACACTGTGTCCTAAATATCTGCAAAGTTTGACGAAATTCTGTGCAAAGATTTATGAGGAGTTGCGCTGACAAAAAAAAAGGACTGACGGACTGACTGACACTCTGACGGACGGGTCAAAAACATTATACCTCATGCACCCTGTTGCATGGGGTATAATGATACTCTTACTCCTGCAAATGATCAAAAGCAAGTGTTGTGAACTAGTATATTCAGATGACCAGGTTCCATTGATTCTGATTTGTCGGTTACTAAGTCACAGGTACTTGGGTACGGGGCACCCCCCACCCGAGGTTCCCTTCGCATCCGAGTACATATGCGAAACTTTGCAGAAAGAACAAGTATACCTTGGTAACTAATATGCAAGAGAAAAATTAACTGTACAAAAGTGCGGCCACGTTCGTTTTTAAGAAAAACTGTAGTTGAAAATACTTCATTTTTTTATAGATGTGACTTTTCCTCCTCATTAAAATCTATACTTTTAAAGAAATTAAATGTTGAAGTCTGAATCTGAATGTGTTATTATCTAATCTATACTTTTACAGAAATTTATTGTTTAAATCTGTATCTGAATGTTATGAAAACCACATAAACTTCTTCTTCGTAAAATTTATCAGGGGACATTGCATGGAAATCAATGACACAAAACATTAAAAACATGACGTCACAATGAGCCGGCATATGTTGAATAACCAAGTTCTTCAGTCTTCCATAATTATAACATAATAATATGATAAATTTTCAATCAATATATGCAGTGAAAAACAGTCAAACGACATAAGTTTACATTTATACATGTACCTCTTATTAAAATGAGCGTCTCCTTCATATTGGACTTGATATTGAATTTATGTTCAAGAAAAGATTTTTTTAACGTTTTATTGAAAATTATCATGCAGCTTTTCTAAAGTATGATTTAGATTATATATTTATCATGCTGAATGTTGACATCAGTGCTTTCAAGACAGGTTTAAATTAAACATTCAATTCAAAGGCGGATCCAGGGCCGTTGCGTCGAGCCCCCCCAAATCCACCGTTTGATTTTGTAAAACAAGCTTAAGCATGTAATTAATTATTTTTTTGTTACTAGCATTAAACACAAACTTATCAGTAGATCTACACGTATGGTATGAGATATTCCGAAATACTATTTTACCGCCATGGCAATGTATTTTAAAATTCCTGCAAGGTGACGATTGGTTTTCTAAATCAAAGGAGGGGGGCACATATTATAGCAGATGTTCGTTCCCCGGACCCTACCAGGAATGTGCTCCCAACCCCCATGGGGCTTCAACGCAGCTCCAGACACCCTGTCCTCTATACCACCCCATCGTCTCAAGCCACGGTCCACTTTCCGCATATAGCTCTCTCCTACAATGGGAGAGGATCGTACATTTTGACCGTGGTTTGCGACGATGTACCACCCCCTCCCCCGTTATTAAATTCCTGAATCCGCAAATGTAATCTATAAGGAGTTTAGATAATGATATAATATTATTTTGACAAATTTTGTATGGCTACAGTTGTGTGTGTTTTCGGCAATTTCTATGTAATTTTAAAAAGAAACATGATGCAATCAACTATTTATTTGTGTATGAATAAAGATTAACAGTTCCCAATAGCAATTAACATTTTTCTTTACACAGACAAGTGAAGGCAATTTTAACATATATGAATCTGCTGTATATTTAAAAAAAAAAAAAACAATTGCATAATTTTTTGACAAGAGACATGCTTTTCCCCTTCCGCTGCATACAATTGATGTGTCTAGTTCGATTAGGACTTTTTCAGAAATTAATTAAGTCATTTAAAAGACACTAAATTGCTTTTTAAAATTATCTGTGTTAAAACGAATGTATCAGACAAAACATTGTTGGGATTTAAAAGAATTTCAACAAGATTGCCCATCAAATAATACATTAATTATGTCATAGGATATAAATATTGATACAAATGACATTCATAAGGTCTGGGAAGGTGGGGAGGGGTGTCCAGTCCATATCACCGTAGTGAAAATGGTGGTACACATCAGATCTAAATTTTAAAGATGTTAACTTCCGTCTGTGATGATGATTCGTTCCGCAAAAATATGAAAAGTATTTGAAGAACAAATGACGTAAAACATTGCGAAGGCCCCAGAAAGTTAGTGTTTCCAAAGGAAGTGTGACAGGATTGGAATTGAAATTATTATTGTCACTGAAATCTTTTAAATATCTATAAACATTTACATTTAGGAGGTATTGTAAAGCATAATCAATATTAAAAATGTTTATGTTTTAGCAGTTTTTGTCTCAGTAGATGTATAGTCACGTAAATGACGTAATACGTCATGTCAGCTGTTTGTGAGGTATATTTTAAAAGAATTTTTCATAAAAACAACTTTCAAGAAAAAAAACTTATTTTGTTAGAAACCCAATCTCGCTTTCTAATGGTAATCCTGGAATGACAAACCTAAAACCCCAGTCACATTTCCAAAAACGACCATCGGCCGGTTTTTAGGCAAAAATGGGATTCTTCGAGCGACAATCGTCAGCTAATCGGCCGTTGTCTGGCTCGATTTTGACCTCTTTTTTCATCGGCCGACTAACTTTTTGTCCATCGGGCCAAGTTATAATTTTTTCTGCGTCGGTGGCCGATTTCTATGGTTCAAACAGTCGTTGAGAAGTCCTTCGAGCAACCCTCGATCATCGTCCGACCACCGCTAGACAGTTTTTATGTCTGTCGTCGGTCGCTCGACATTTAGGTTTTGGGTTTTTCTAAATTTGTTGTCCGAGGGGCACCGATGGAAGACCCGAAATCGACCGAGGGTCGACTGGTTTATCCGGCAATTTTGATAAATCGCCTGATGGACAGCGGACCTTATACTGATTACTTTTAGCATCTACCGCCTATCGGTCGAAAAGCAACGGCCAAGCGGACGACGTCATGCTGCAAACTTTTTTTTTTTATCAAAAGTTGAAGCGATGGTAACTTGGTTGCAAATGATTATTCAGCAATTGCGTTTGAGGCTTCTGATGATGCACATAAGACAAAATCTACTGCTTCTGGCCCTGCTGAATCTTGTAGAGGAAGATGCCCGAGGGAGAAGAAATCGACGTTCATATTGGGTAAGACCCTGGATTCAGAGGCGCCCAATATTTGGGCAATACGAAAAACTAATGCATGAGCTAATGAATGAGGCGCATGAAGATTTTAAGCAATTTTTGAGGATGTCGTTTAATATGTTTGTGGAGCTTCTCCATAGAGTCTCCCCAAGGATTACAAAAAGTGGCAAAGGCAACCACTAGAACCCAGATAAAGGATAACAAATTGGAAACTTTCGTGTGGTACCCGAGGTATGATTATATTTTGAAATAATCTAATTCTAAAACACTTTTTCATTTTCCTTCCACTAGGTTTGAAGGCCCGGTTTTAGCAATACCAAACACAAGATTAGCCATAACACTCACCCCCTTTTCAAGCAGCCACCAAAGTCAGGGACAATGTTCTGGATGCATCAGTTATGCTGCAGTTGGAATTTCAGACTTTTCGTGTGGCCCATGAGCACATCGGCTAGGAAAAACAATATCTCTTTTTGTACCCGAGGTATGATTATATTTTGAAATAATCAATATAATTCTAAAACAATTGTATTACTTTTTCATTTTCCTTCAAGTTCATTTGCCAGATTATATATTTTGTTTTGTAGGTTTGTAAGGCTTTGGTAGATGAGTTTGCATCGGAGGTTTTAGCAATACCAAACACACCAGATTTGAACAAACTTGAATTTACACTACCTCAGGATGATTCCACATGAGTTTCATCTTTCCTGGCCCAGTGGTTCTGGAGAAGAAGTAAAGATTTTTCTATGAAGTTTGGTTCCCGATGGAACTTTCACCATGCATGTGGTGCCACCCTTGATGGCAAAGCACATATGATTCCACTATCAGTGGTTCTTGAGAAGAAGATTTTTAAAGCCTATATACCTATGTAAAAGTGGCCCCACCCTTGCCCCGGGGGTCATGGACAATGTTCTACAAGATTAAAATTGCCCATGGTTCTGGAGAAGAAGATTTTTAAAGCATCAAATTTTGGCCCCGCCCTTGCCCCGGGGGTCATGATTTGAACAAACTTGAATCTACAACCTCAGGATGATTCCACATCCTGGCCCAAGAAGAAGATTTTTAAAGATTTTTCCAATATATTCCTATGTAAAAAGCGCCCCACCCTTCCATGCAAATATCTACGCTTCCAAGGAGTTTATCCTGGCCCAAAGGTGAGAATAGATTTTTTAAAAATGCCATTAATTTTTAACAAATTCATGATCTCCCCTTGGAAAAGGGTGTGGCCCTTCATTTCAGATCCCCTTTACCCAAGTGTACTTTGTGCCAAGTTTGGTTGAAATTGGCCCAGTGGTTCTTGAGAAGAAGATGAAAATTAGTTTACGACGACGACGACGACAACGACGACAACAACGACAACGA